GTTCCCACAACTTAATAAAGGTTTTACTCCAACTAGCCAGGCCCAATGTACAGAAATAGAAGACTATATTTCAAAATTATTGGTCTGAGGTAAATTAGGATTAAAAAAAAATCATTCACCATAGATGTTTGTCAAGGGCTTACTTGGAAATCCTGGAGAACCAGGGCTTGCATGACATCTAAATCTGGAACTGAGGAACCATCTAGGTTATTTACAGGTTTGTAGAAGGCACTGTATCCCAAGGATGGAATCAGGAAATATTTATGATCAAAAAGCTGTGAAAATGGAGTATGCCTGTAATCCCTGTGGCTCACGGGGCTGAGGCAGGAGGATGGCAAGTTCAAAGCCAGTCTCAGCAACTTAGCAAGGCCCTAAGCACCTCATGGAGACCCTGTCTCTAAATAAAATACAAAATAGGGCTGGGGATGTGGCTCAATGGTCAAATGCCCCCAAGGTCAATCCCTGATACCAAAAAAAAAAAAAAAAAAAAAAGTGAAAATACAGGACTGTGCAAATAAATAAATGGTTATTATTAGGACCCTTTGGGAGAGAGGCATAATGTAATTTTTTCACTCTCTCCTTACCCTGAATGGAGGAGCATTAAAGTTTAATCTCAATGCTTTTCAGTCCTACTAGACCCCCCCCCCCAGTTTTTTATAGTATTTTGTAAATCAACATTATTCTCTTCAAGGGAAAACTAATGATGATATAACCTATTATATGTAATCTCAAAAAATAATACAATGCCTTGTAATATAAAGAATAAATAAATAGTTGGGCATGGTGGTATATGCCTGTAATCCCAGCCAAATATGGCAAGATGAAGGAGGATTGGAAGTTTTGAGGTCAACCTGGGCAATTTAGTTAGACTTAATTGGAAAACAATTGGTTGGTTGGGTGTTCACATTTAAATTTAAACTTGGAATCAACATGAATGCAACAGTCAAATGCAGACTACAAAGGCAGTTATTCAACAATAAAATAGTTTATCTTCAACCTGTATCTTATAAATTGGGGTGGGGGGTACTGGGGATTGAATTCAGGGGCACTCAACCACTGAGCCACATTCCTAGCCCTATTTTGTATTTTATTTAGAGACAAGGTCTCACTGTGTTGCTTAGCACCTCACTTTTGCTGAGGCTGGTTTTGAACTAGCCATCTTCCCTGCTTCAACCTCCCAAGCCACTGAGATTACAGGTATGTGTGACTGGGCCCGGCTCTCTTTTACATTTTTTAATATTACCTTTTCTAATAAAACCTTTTTTAAATGTCTATGTTGTGTGAGCGTATTAAGAGATTTAGGTTCTAGGCTCATTATGAACAGGTTGTTCAGCTGTGTGAATAAAAACCTGTGTGGGACCTGAAAAATTCGCATAGGATGTGAAATAAATCTTTGTTATAAGGATTTCTTTGTGCACTGTAGGATATCTAGGGTCCCTGGTCCCCTCCCCCACAAATTATAGTAGTGATTCTCCATCATTTTGATAGCCTAAAAGGTTCCACGTATTTCTGAAAATGTCTTCCCCATTCACCACCACCTGGTCAATACCATTCCCACTGAGAACGACTGGAACTGGAAGCTAGACTAACATAAACAGAATGAAAAAAACAACAACAACTACTACATAATCTAGAGCAATGTATTGCTTGAATACTGGTAAATTCTTTTCATAGAAATTGGAATTTTGAATTATATTGGTGTTTGACATTACCACTTTTACAAACATTAGTTTACCTTGGCCTTATTTGCTCAGACTCAAGTGTCCTGTTCCCAGTGGCAAACTTTACCGAGTGTCAGAATTGTGTGATATCTGGATTTTATCAAGTTTTCCAACCTTTTCTTTACTACCTAAGAGTCTGATGGACTCTGACTCAGCATGACTGTGGACTTCAGATCCTTTATATGGTTTTTCTCCCCTGATAGTTTGAGTGTTTTTGAGAAATGTTTACAGGTCCCATAACTGTTCTAGTCATCATTGTGCCACTTCAGTTAGTTATTTCACTTCAGATAATGACTCCTGGTCCCCAATCATCTCTAGCCATCAAATAACATTATGCTATAGTGCTTTCCTTATCATGCCAAGCACATCCAAACTTAGTAGGCCACAATGTTTAGCAAAGCTTATTGGAATAATAACTAACTTAAACTGAGAGCTTATTGTAGGCCAAGCACTGTTCCAAATAATTCTGTCTTGGTGATGTTTATATGACATAGGTACTATTATTATCTCCCTTTTGCACAACAGGAAATACAGGCGATGTAACTGGAAGCTGGCCAATGTCAACTCAATGAAGGCCCGTATCCCGTGAAGGAGAAAGAAGAGGAGAATGAAGGTGACAGAAAAGAGTTGTGAGGCAGGGAAAGGGAGAGTTGAAGAGAAGTAGAGACAAAGGGGCAGAGAGGAGGGGAAATAAGTGAGGAAAGAGTCTATCATGGAAACATGGTATTCCAATATCTCGCTACCTCCTTAGCCTCTTAATCTATTTTATTTTTTTTTAGAGGGAGAGAGAATTTTTAAATATTTATTTTTTTAGTTTTCGGCAGACACAACATCTTTGTACGTGGTGCTGAGGATCGAACCCGGGCCGCACGCATGCCAGGCGAATGCGCTACTGCTTGAGCCACATCCCCAGCTCCCTTAATCTAGCTAATACAAATTGCTGTACAATTTATAAAAAGCAAAGAGACACTTTTTTTTTGGTAAACTTGGTAAATTCAGCTAATAGATCACTCTCTGAAATCCATTACAAAACTAGTATATAAAAAGAGTTGTGACCTGATTCTAAAGTTGAGTATTTTAACTTCTGGGAATAGTATAAATACCAAGAAAGGGGAGTAGGAAAAGAGGAAGAACTGAAAGATGAAATAGAGAAAAGACATATTCTGAAGGGTCTGATCATAGACTGCTTTTAGTCCCAGTTCTGTGAGATGACAGGGCCTGCCTTCCAGTGCCATCCAAGTGCTTCATGCCATATTCATCCCACTCCTCCAAAGTATTAACAGGAGGGGACATTGATTTCCCCATCACTCACAATCTTAGGTTTACCTGCAAATTACAGGTATGTAATTTGCCCACAGTCCTTTTTAATACTATGCAAGGCATCTTAGTTTTTCATTGTGACTCTTGTCATTCCCAGAAATGTCATCTGGAATCTGATCCTTAAAATTCATTTCCAGGTGGGCAGAATGGCTCGTGACTGTAATCCTAGCTACTTAGGAGGCCAAAGCAGGAGGATCAAATGTTGAGACCAGCTTAGGTAACGTGGTGAGACACTGCCTCAAAATAAAATAAGGGTTGGGCATGTAGCTCACTGATTGAGTGATTGCCTACCATGGGTTCAATCCCCAACACAAGAGGGCAGGGGCCTGAGGGAAGAGCAAGTATTCTAGCAAATAATAGAGAACTCTTGATAGATTTAAAATAATAATCTGTCCACCCCAAACACTGCTTTTCACAGTGGACCTTAGGAATAATGTAACTAGGGCGAGAAGCTTTTTCTATACAGGATGAGATGGTAAATATTTTAGGTCTTATGAACCCATACAATCTGTCATACCTACTCAACTCATCATTATGTAATTCTGCCATTTTACTGCCACAGTTTAAAAATAAATGATTATGCCTGTGTTCCAACAAAGCTTTCTGAACACCCAAATATGAATTTCATACAATTTTCAATGTGTCATGAAAAAAAAATTTTTTTTTTTTTTTTTGCAACCATTTAAAAGCATAAAAACCAGGGGCTGGAGTTCTGGCTCAGCAGTAGAGCACTCACCTAGCGTGTGCAAGGCCCTGGGTTCAATCCTCAGCACCACAAAAAAATAAAGATATGTGTCCAACTACAACTAAAAAAATATATATATTTTAAAAAAAAATTCCTTGCTCTTGGGTCATACAAAAACAACAGGTTGGATTCGCCTCTGTATAGCTTGCCAACCCCCAGTATATATCTGAGGGTAAAAACAACTAAAAATTGAAACCTCTCACTGTCAAAATCCAGGCACTTGCTAAGTGATTAAAAGAAGAAAAGTGGGTATCCATAGATGCTAGAAAACTAAATTTTTAAAGCACAGTTTTCTCTGGTCATCTTAGGGGGGGTCAACTCACAGAAAGCAAAAAACTATTTTTAGTAAACTGAAATATTTGGAATCTTGATCTCTATAGAGACATCATGTAAGAACATGAATTACCTCTATTGTTGGAGGGGAAAAGAAATGAACGCACAACCTCCTGAAATGCGGAAAAAAGGGCAAAGACAATTAAATGTTTTGCCTGAGTTCTAAGACCTTGTCCTACTAGGCAATCCAGGTCCAATTAGAAACAACATTTTAAAACTCAACAAAAGGAAAGAAATCCTCCCTTGTAATATTCAGTAAATAAGTATTACTCAGTAAATAATGCTTAAAATTAAAATAACAATAAATATATCATTTAGTAATATGTCCGTAAATATCGCCTCCCCCCCAAAAAAAATTTAAAGTAGCTGCTTCTGGGAAGAAGAAACAATAAGTTCAATTGTTTTTCATTATTAGTATAAAATATTTGAAACTGTACATATGACTTTAATACAAAATTTTAAAGATTAAATATTTTTTGCATTACTGAAGATTGAACCCTCAGAGGCGTTTTTCCGTCGAGATACTGCCCCCGTCCTTTTTAAATTTTAAAGACAGGGCCTGGCTAAGTTGTCAAGGCTGGCCTAGAACTCGCGAGCCTCCAGCCTCAACCTCCGGAGTCGCTGGATTGTAGGCACGAGCCAAAATGTCCGTCTTAAAGATTAAATTTTAAAATAGAAAAATTAAAGATGTGTGAGGTGGAACTCCGTTGCTGTGGCAACCCCTGTAGCGCGGCGTCTCTTTGTTCTTCGGAAATTCAACCTCAAGCCGCCCCGCCCCTTCCTCATCCGGAGCTGTAGGCGCAGCAGTGGCTGAGCGCGAGCCGATGTCCCGCCTTCCCACTGAAGAGCTACGTTTCCGGCCCGTGAGGCAACTCTTGGAGATGCTCCGGCGGCGGCAGCGGCTGCAGGCCGTAGCGGTGCGCAGCTGGGCCCCGCCCCCTGCGATAAAACGTCTCGTCACTTCCGGCTTCCTTTTCCCTGCTGGCTGCCGGGCGCGTGAGGGATTTGCTTGTGTGCCGAACTCCTCAGAACCATGGTGAGCCTGGCCTCCTGCTCTCTACCTCCTACCCCTGTCCCAGCCCCGCCATGCCCGGCAACACCTCTGCTCCCTCCGTGTTCTCAGAGTCGCGGGCTGCCCTTGTCTTGTCTTCTGGGCCCACCGCACATGGCGCGAGTCGCGGCGTGAGGCCTGCGCGGGTTTAGCCGGTAGATTCCTCCATGCGGGCGGGAAGGAGGAGTGGGCCTAATGAGGCGTCCTTTTTCTGTTCGGCCTTTCAACAGTCTGGGGACTACGAGACTCGGGTCTTATCCCTAGCGAAGAAGTTTCTAGTGCCCGCACAGCACCGCCCTCCTCCTGGAGGCGGAGTCTGGAGGGCCGTGAAGGAGCCGCCCTAGGGTGGAAGATGGAGGGCGCCCTCCTGGCCGTTGTCGAACGAGTAGCCTTACACCCTCTCACTACTCGTCCTTAAGTTAATATTGTCGCTAGTTTGCCCAGACACTCGATCTCTCTGACTTTACTATTTATACTTGGCGTCCTCATGTAAGTCCTTGATGATGGATGCTTAATTTGTTTTAAAATTACTGTAAATGAATATTCTCTTAAGATGCCTACTTGTATATGTATTGGAAGGCACTAAAATATATATTGTTAGAGAGTATGGGTATTCATCGCAGTGAGCAAGCTTGTAATTCCAGTAGCTCTGGAGGCTGAGGCAGGAGGATCACAGGTTCAAAGATATCTTAAGCAGTTTAGAGACCCTAAGAAACTTGATGAGACCCTGGTCAGAATAAAAAGGGTTGGGGATATGACCCAGTAGTTAAGTGCCCCTGGGTTCAATCCCTGGTACCAAAAAATAAAGAGCATCCGTATTCTTGATTTTCCTTTTTAGGCATCCCTTTCCCTTGCACCTGTTAACATCTTCAAGGCTGGAGCTGATGAAGAGAGAGCGGAGACAGCTCGTCTGGTAAGCCCTTTCTGCCTTGTTCTTATAAAAATACAATTATATATTTTTTCTATGATCAAAATTCTGACAGTCTCAGATTTTCATTTCAGTCATCATTTATTGGTGCCATCGCCATTGGAGACTTGGTGAAGAGCACGTTGGGACCCAAGGGCATGGTAAGCAAAAATAGCAAATTTTTTTGTTTTGAGATAGGGTCTTGAAATTTTGCCCAGGCTGGCCACAAATATAAGTTTTAATATTTTTTAAAGCTCTTATTGGAGATATAGTTAGTAACTTTTTTTTTTTAATCTTTTAAGACTTAAATTTTGTAAGTGGTAAATACGTTCTTTTTTGCTAAGAACAAATAGTCCTGGATCATTATCTCCAGTTCCATGCCTTTCCCTGGTGGCAACCAGTGTTATTTGTATGTCCATTTTTTCAGTATTTTCCTGTTATGTTCTGACATAACATACATACATGCTGTTTGTGTGTACTTTTTCTGTAATTACTCTCTTAAATTCCTTTCAGAGTAAGTAAGTAGATACACCATCTCCTCTTTAACTGTCAAATAGAATTCTGTAGCTTGATTATAACTTTACTTGATAGACGCTTCTGTTGTTTCCATTGTTTTCTGTCACAGTGCTGAAACAAATCTAGGGAGGTCTGATTCTCCTTGTGTTTCTAATGCCTCTGGGGATAGATAATGAAGATATGATAGTGGGGTGTATGCATTGGAAACATTTGATGGCCAGTAGCTATGCGAGGTATTTAAATGTCAGCAGTATACTGCTGAGTATGCTGATTGATTCATGCATTCTTGAAGGTGTATTTATATCTTAACTTGAAATAAATATGTTCTCTTTAGGACAAAATTCTTTTAAGTAGTGGACGAGATGCCTCTCTCATGGTAACCAATGATGGTGCCACTATTCTAAAAAATATTGGTGTTGACAACCCAGCAGCTAAAGTTTTAGTTGGTGAGTCTGAAGATAATACTATTTGGTTAACATTTTGAAATGATGTTTTCTAATAGGTTGTGTTGACTGATACTCATCACTTTTTAATTAATTGTTACTATTAAAATACAGTTTCAGAAGTGCCATGTAATTGTTGATGATTATCTTAGTCCATTTTGTGCTGTTATAACAGAAACCACAGATTGGGTAATTTATAAACAGTAGAAGTTCATTTGGCTCATGGGTCTAGAGGCTAGAAAATCCAAGGTCTGGGAACCATGTCTGGGCCTTCTGCTCTGATATAACATGCTGGTAAGCATCACAAGAGAGAGATTGGGGATTATGTTTCCAACACATGAACTCGGGGGGGGGGGGCATATTCATACCACAACAGTGGTAAAAATTTTTTTATTTCAGACCTAAAAGCTTCCCCAAATTTGTCAGGTGAGGAATCTATGTTAGTGAGAGTAGATTGGTAGTGGGTATTTTTGTATAACTTAGTAAGCTACAGAGAAATAATTTTAACACTTTTCTTTCTAGATATGTCAAGGGTTCAAGATGATGAAGTTGGTGATGGCACTACCTCTGTTACTGTTTTAGCAGCAGAATTACTAAGGGTAAGAGCAACTGAGAACTCTGACCTTGTTTTTTGTTACTATGGTTTTGAATAACACAAGTGATTAAGTCCTTTGTAACTATTATTTGTATAACTGTTTATTAATAGGAAGCAGAATCTTTAATTGCAAAAAAGATTCATCCACAGACCATTATTGCGGGTTGGAGAGAAGCCACAAAGGCTGCAAGAGAAGCTCTGTTGAGTTCTGCTGTTGATCACGGGTTGGTATACCAAAATACTACTGTTCTAAAATTCTGGCCTAAAGAATGCTGAAAAGCATACACAAGTGTGATTCTGCTTCACTCCACCCACCAGTCAAACCCACATCAGCCTCCAGAGACAGCCACTAAAGTGGAAAATTTGTGTTTCTAGTCTTTTTACATGTAATAAAAAATAAAAATGCCCCTAAACCCCAAATACATCGTGTAAAGGGTATGTTAGCATCTTTTTAAACTAGTTGGATAACAATTACATTTCTTAAGTGTTGGTAATCTCTGTAATATTACTTTTAATGTTTGCATATAGAACTAATGGAATTTCCTTAACCTATTTATGGTTGGAGATTTGTGTTCTTGATAATTTTAGTTCTAAAATAATGTGACCAACTTGTTATCTAGGAACTTGTTTATACAATTGCTGGGTCCAAAGGTGAGTAAGGCATTTTATGTACATTACCAAATAAATGTTCAAAAAATTTTATTTATACTCCCAGTACACTAATTGTGTGATAATGCTTGTTTCCCCATGCTCTTGGTAACATTTGGTTTTTTTTGTGTGTGTGTGTGTGTGTGTATGTATGTATGTATGTATGTGTGAGTCCTGGGGATCTAACTAAGGGGCACATCCCCAGCCCTCTTGTATTTTATTTAGAGACTGTGTCCCTGAGTTGCTTAGCCCCTCGATTTTGCTGAGGCTGGCTTTGAACTCAATATCCCCCATCTCAGCCTCCTGAGCCACTGGGATTATGGGCGTGTGCCACCGCACCCAGTACATTTAATATTCTTTTGATTGTCCCTCCATTCCTGCCCCCTTGGGCAGTTTGGTGGAGAAAACGTACCCTTTAATTCACTTCTCTGGATTATTGGAGAGAGGTTTAGTCTTTTCCTGTGAATTTTGGAGACCTGGCTAGGGTAGAAATAACTATGGATTAATGGTTATCTAGATAAACTTTGAAAAGTAAAATAGTGTTGTTTACTGTGAGCAAACATTTTATAACAGGGTTGGTTTTCTTTTTGTTTCTTTTATTGCTTTTTATTTAGTTCTGATGAAGTTAAGTTCCGTCAAGATTTAATGAATATTGCAGGAACAACATTATCCTCAAAACTTCTTACTCATCACAAAGATCACTTTACCAAATTAGCTGTAGAAGCTGTTCTCAGACTGAAAGGTTCTGGTAATCTGGAGGCGATTCATGTCATCAAGAAGCTAGGAGGGAGTCTGGCAGATTCTTATTTAGATGAAGGTATGTATGGGTGTCCAAATATGGGAAAGAAGTTTGGATAAGCTTCTGAGAGGCTGAATACTGAATGAGTCTTGATTTTAGTTAATGGGAATTTGTGACAATTTACAGAGCCAGAAAACTTAACTTTGAGGACATATACATTTCAACCATTTTTCATTTTAATCTATTTGTTAAATACTGACAGTGTGCATCATCTTCTTATACCATTCCTGTATTTTTCTGATAACTTCTAGATTTCACTTTGTACCATGAAATTATTTGCAGTCTAGTGAAGAGTAGTTGTAATTTTCTTTTCTTTTTTAATTTTCTTGATGGACCTTTATTTTATTTATTTGTATGTGGTGCTGAGAATCGAACCCAGTGCTTCACACATGCTAGGCAAGCGCTCCACCACTGAGCCACAACCCCAGTCCCTGAGTAATTATGATTTCTTTTGCTGAAAATTAGCTACTCTCAAATAGCACTTTTTCTAGTATTATGTGTATCATCCAGGAGGGATCTGGGTAAGTCAGACCATTTAGTAGTTAGCAGGTTACTGAGGAAGTGTTCTTTCTTGTTTTAAGAAGATCCTTCAACTGACAAATCTATGTGGTTTATGTCCTGATAGATAGGATTTATAGATTATTTATTTATTTTTGATACTGGGGATTCAACCCACGGGTACTTGACCGCTGAGGTACATCCTCAGTCATCCTTATTTTTTGAGACAGGGTTAAGCTAATTGCCGAGGCTGACCTTTATATTGGGATCCTCCTGTATGACGAGGATTGTAGGCATGTGCCATTGCCCTTACTAGAGGGTACAGTTTAGCATGGTGTTAAAAAGCAACTTCACGTTGTATTTGCTTCTCAAAATGTTATAAAGAAGATGTATGCATTCTCCTATAGGGAAGAAGAAAATTATTACTTTAAAAAATATTTTTAATTGCATTTTATATATAGGGACTAGTATTTTTTTTTTGTAATTTTAATTAGTTATACATGACGGCAGAATGTATTTTGATTTATAATACACAAATGGAGTATAATTTTTCATGCATCTGGTTGTACACAAAGTAGAATCACACCATTTGTGTCATCATACATGTACCTAGGGTAATGATGTCTGTCTCATTCCACCATCTTTCCTACCCCCATGCTTCCTCTTTCCCCCCTCCCCTTTGCCCTATTCAAAGTTCCTTCATTCCTCCCATGGGCGTACCCCCCCCCCCCATGATGGATTAATATCTACTTATCAGAGAAAACATTCAGCCTTTGGTATTTGGGGGTTGACTTCACTTAGCATGATGTTCTCTAACTCCATCCATTTATCTGCAAATGTTATGATTTTATTCTCTTTTAATTTTTTTTTTTTTTTTGAGAGGGAGGGAGAGGGGGGAGAGAGAGAATTTTTAATATTTATTTTTTAGTTTTTGGCGGACACCACATCTTTGTATGTGGTGCTGAGGATTGAACCCGGGCCGCACGCATGCCAGGCAAGCGCGCTACCGCATGAGCCACATCCCCAGCCCCTTATTCTCTTTTAATACTGAGCAATATTCCATTGTGTATGTATACCACAGTTTCTTTATCTATTCATCTATTGAAGGACATCTAGGTTGCTTCCACAATTTAGCTATTGTGAATTGAGGTGCTATTAATGTGGCTGCCATTGATGTGGCTGCATCACTGTAGTATGCTATTTTTAAGTCCTTTGGGTATAGAGCCAGGAGTGGATAGCTGGGTCAAATAGTGGTTCCATTACAAGTTTTCTAAGGAATCTCCTACTGCTTTACAAATTAATTGTACCGATTTGCAGTCCCACCAGCAATGTATGAGTGTGCCTTTTCCCCCACGTACTCGCCAACAGTTATTGTTGCTTATATTCTTGATAATTGCCATTCTGACTGGAGTGAGTTTTTTTTTAATGTATTTATTGATCAGTTGTATATCTTCTGAGAGTGTCTGTTCAGTTCCTAAGCTCATTTATTGTTTGGGCTATTTGTTTTTTTTGGTGTTAAGTTTTTTGAGTTCTTTATATATCCTGGAGATTAGTGCTCTACCTGATGTGTGTGTGGAAAAAATTTGCTCCCATTCTGTAGGCTCTCTCTTCACTTCACTGATGGTTTCTTTTGTGGAGAAGCAATTTTTTAGTTTGAATCCATCCCAGGACCTTGTGCATGCAACCATTTATTGATTCTTGCTTTTATTTCTTGTGCTTTAGGACACTTGTTAAAGGAAGTCAGGGCCTAATCAGACATGATGAAGATTTGGGTCTATTTTTGATTCTGTTAGGTACAGGGTCTCTTGTCTAGTTCCTAGGTCCTTGATCCACTTTGAGTTGAGTTTTGTGCATAGTGAGAGATGGGGGCTTAATTTCATTTTGCTGCATATGAATTTCCAGTTTTCCCAGCACTATTTGTTGAAGAGACTATCTTTTCTTCAATGTATGTTTTTGGCGCCTTTGTCTAGTAAGAGATAACTGTATTTATGTATTTACTTATTTTGTCTCTGTGTCTTCTGTTCTGTACCACTGGTCTAAATGCCTTTTTTGGTGCCAGTACCATGCTGTTTTTGTTACTTTTGTTCTGTAATTGTCTAGTATTTCTTAACAGGACCTGATAAGTAGTGGAATTTTATTTAAAACAAGGTTAGAAGGAGGGGGAAGAAAAAGGACAGTAGCACAAGTACCTGCTGTTCTTTGTTGTCTGCCAGGCAGTGCAATAGGAATTGTAGTTCTTTAGTCCTTGTGATGATGACCCATTGAGTGAATAGTTTGACTGAAAAGAGCAGAAAACTGAATAAGGGAAAAGTTTCTTATGCATTCATTTCAAAGAAGCCTGGAAAGATAAGCAGTACTGAGTTCATATATATGATGGTACCAAATCTCCACAGCTAGGTTAGTAGCTAGTATTTCTTTGTCTGATTCTATTTCTATTTGACAGATGTGTATTTATGCTTGATGCTTAACCGTAAATCAGTATGCATCAGGGACATGATTGGACAAGTTTGTCCAACTCATCTTTTATCCATTATTTTTAAATTTTACTACCAGCTTCAAAGTTTTAGGTTTACCTTTTACTGTATGTGCTGTGCTCTGATGTTTTCTGTAATTTAAATAGCCCACTAAATTGATTTTTTTGATAATTTTTCTATGGGATGGTTTGTAGGTTCTAGGAGCTTGGTAAATTGAACTTGAATAAATTCCTTGAATTAGTCATTTCATAAATGAAGCCTTTTAATACTATTATGTTTATTGTAGGATTCCTATTGGATAAAAAAATTGGAGTAAATCAACCAAAGCGAATTGAAAATGCAAAAATTCTTATTGCAAACACTGGAATGGATACAGACAAAATAAAGGTATGTAACTATTTTTCTTGAAGTTGTAATTGCTGGTTGCTATAAACTCAGGCTGGGAATCAGATGCATTAAAAAGCTTAAAATGTGTGTATGAATATATACACACATGTACTTTTTTGTATTTAGAGACATGGTGTCTCTGAGCTGCTTAGTGCCTTGCTTTTGCTGAGGCTGGCTTTGAACTTGGGATCCTCCTGCCTCAGCCTCTTGAGCCATTGGGATTATACATACCACCACGCCTGGTTTATACATAGTTTTTGGTAGTTCATAAAAATGTTGAAATATGCAGTGGGACTTAAAAAGATTAATAAAACTGATTCTGTGTACATGTACTGATGTGTATTTCTTTGTTTTAGATATTTGGTTCCCGGGTAAGAGTTGATTCTACAGCAAAGGTTGCAGAAATTGAACATGCGGAAAAGGAAAAAATGAAGGAGAAAGTTGAACGTATTCTTAAGCATGGAATAAACTGCTTTATTAACAGGTCTGTGTTTGTATGTGTTAATGATACTTTTTTTTTGGTGCTAGGGATTGAATCCAGGGCCTAGTGCAAGGCAAGCACTCTACCAACTGAGCTATATCCCCAGCTCATTAATGGTATTTTTAATGTAAAAAATGATTTTTTTCTTACAAAAATTATGGAAGTACTTCATATTGAATTACTTGTATTAGTAATGTTATTTAGAAACTGTAGTACATATTATGTTTACTTTTTAATCTCTTTTGGTGCTGGGAATTGAACCCCGGTCCTTTCTTAAATTTTGAGACAAGTTCTTCCTAAGTTGCTGAGAGTCTCACAAAATTGTCTAGGCTGATATTGGACTTGGGATCCTTCTGCTTCAGCCTCCTTGGTCTCTGATTATAGGAGTACTGTGCCTAGTTACAGTACATATTTTTAATATTATAGATTTTCATAATTAGATGTGATTTACACATACTCTTAGCAGGCATAGAAATCACTCACATTTAATCTTTACTTTCTTGGCTGACTTGGTGTGGCACAGATGAAGAACATTGTACAGTAGTTGCCCCTGCACGGCGTTGGATATATTCATAGACCCCTAGAGGATGCTTGAAACTACGGATAGTACTAAACCCTTTAGATACTGTTTCTTGGTTTTCGGTTTTTTCATTACATGTTTGGGATGAAGTTTAACTTTCGAATTAGGCACAGTATGAGATTAACAACACTTAATACAACAATAATAAAGTAAGACAGTTAAACTGTACTTTCACATGTTATGTGAAGGTGTTCTTGATTGTCCTCTCTCAGTACCTCATTGTACTGTACTTATCTTTCTTGTGATGATGTGAGATTTATGATAACAGTGCTTATGTTTGAGATGAAGTGAGGTCACTTAGGCATTGTGCCTTAATGTTTGACTGCGATGTAAGGTTACTTATATAGAGATTTCTTGATTGTTGATTTAATAACCTAGATGGCTACTAAGTGACTAAAGACAGGTAGAAAACATTATGGAGACTTGGGACAAAGGTGTGATTCACATTCTGGGCAAGACAGCAGGACAATGCAAGATTTTAGTAGGCTATTTAGAACCAAACTATTGGTTTTATTTTTGGGCCTCAATTGACCATGAATAACTGAAGTGTGGAAAAATGAAACCACGTAAAAAATTCTTTAACATTTAAATTTTATTGCTGTAGATTACCAGGAGTTAACGTATATGGACATCAATAAGGTTTTTGATGCTTTTCTGCTAAATTAATACATTTTCTTTCTTTTTTTTTTTTGTTTTCGTTTTGTTTTGTACTGGGGATTGAACCAAGGGGCACCCAACCACTAAGCCATGGTCCCAGCCCTTTTTATTTTTGAGACAGTCTCAATAAATTGCTAAATTTAGCTTTGAACTTGACAATCCTATGTTAGCCTCCCATCTTGCTGGGATAAGTGAGAAATGGTAACTTGTTCTAATTTGTGTGTCTGGTAAAAAAAATATCTGCATTCTTTTTAGCTTGTTTTGAGAAACAGCAGTTTTGAGCATAATGATTTATATGTTTTATTTGCAGGCAATTAATTTATAATTATCCTGAACAGCTTTTTGGTGCTGCTGGTGTCATGGCTATTGAGCATGCAGATTTTGCAGGTGTAGAGCGCCTGGCCCTTGTTACAGGTATGTATAAGAGGCATTAATTTCTTTTGGGTTTTTTTTTTTTTTTAATGGTGCTAGGGATCGAACCCAGGGCATTGTGTTTGCAAGGCAAGCACTCTACCAATTGAACTATATCCCCAGCCCAAAAGGCATTAATTTCTAATAAACATAATAGTCACTCAGATTTATTAAACATTACTATATGCGGTTCATTGTTGAAAATATGAAGAAATCCCTGTAAGGAGTTTAGAGTTTTAGAGTTATTCTGAAATCTTATTGAAGAGTTATTCTGAAATCTCATTTATACTTTTGGAAGTTTGTAATTTAGTTACTTTTAACTGCTGAGTTGCATCCCAGGCCCTTTTTATTTTTAATTTTGAGCCAGAAGCTTCCCCAAGTTGCTGGGATTATAGGCATGCACCACCACACTTGACTAGTTACAGTATTTTTAATACAGGTTGAATATTCTTTGTCTTTGACTTTGAAGCCCTTTAGATGTTGGATTTTATTTTTTGATTTAGGAATATTTGCATATATATAATGAGATAACTTGAGGATGGGACCCAGTTGTAAACATGAAAGTCATTTGTTTTATGTACATCTTGTACTGAGTCTGAAGGAAATTTTATGCAATATTTTGGTGCATCTGTGATCCATCACATTAAAGTTTTGCTGTTGTGTTCATGTTCAAAAGTTTATATTTTGAATTTACAGCTAATTTAGGAATGCTTAGCCAAAATAATGCATACTGCCATAATGCTATGCCAAGTTATATACAAGGTTCACCATGGCTGTAGATTTCTTTTTGTTGGTGTTACTATTTTAAAGATAAATCTTTTTTTAGATGTTAATTAACCTTTGTTTTAGTCATTTATTTATATGTAATGCTGAGAATCAAACCCAATGCCTCAAACTTGCTAGGCAAGTGCTCTACACTGAGCCACAACCCTAGCCCTAAAGATAAATTTTTTCTTAACAGTTTATAAGTTTAATTTTAAATATAGTCTAAACAAACTATTGCTTAAGGAGTAGTTGAATGCTTCATACTCTGTGTAATACAGTTACAGTAGTAACCTTTAATGAACACTTTGTGCTAAAGTATGTATACTTAGTTTTCTTAATTTTTAAATTTTTCTGGAAGTAATAAATGTTGAAATAAACAGTTCAGCATCATATGATGAAAGTGTATGCTTAACACTCTTGAGTGGAGATTTGAGTGATATAATCCCAATTGTGTCAAATAGAAATTGTGTTTACAAATCAGATAGTAATCTGTGTCTTACTTGTTTGTTTCTTGTTGCAATAATGATTTCTACACTTAGTCACTAAGTAGCCCTAGAAAAACTTTTTATTTTTATCATCTAAATTTCATTTGGGTCCAATAAGTAGGTTGGAAAGTTGGTTTGGAATCTGGGAATGAGAATTGAGAAGACCTGAATGTTGGAAATATTAGAAGAAATTAGGTGTACTAACTTGGAAAGTATTTGTCACCTCATCCCAGAATGATTTCTTGTTTTTCCTTCCCCCTCCCTCCCTCTCTTCCTTCCTTCCTGCACTGGAGATTGAACCAAGGGCCTCATATATGCTAGGCATATGCTCTAACACTAAGCTGCATCCCTAGTTTTTTATTTTTTATTTTGAGACTGGATTACTAAGTTGCTGGGCTGGCCTCCAACTAGCAGTTCTTTTGCCTCAAGCCTTTCTGATAGCTGGGATTATAGGCATGCACCACCATGCCTGGCTCAGAATGATATGTGAAGCCATTTTTAGTAATTTGAGAGGCATAATCTTCCTTTGACCTAGAGACATTATCCTTTTGTTAATTACTTGGAAGTGGGTTTACCTGTTTTTAAAATTCTTTATAAGCCATGGTAAACTTGATGTGTAAGTTAACACATAAAACTATAATGTTCATGTTGATGTAATTGATCTTCTAATGCAAGAAAATAAAGACATTTTGAAATACATGTATGATATGTCAAGATCAATGTAATGTTTTGAGCAACCAGTAAATTTCTGTTGTTTAAAAAAAATAAAGACATAAGAAATATGGATGATAACATAATTCATAGAGCAAATTGATATCATAAGGACTTAGTACATGAAATTGTCACATATATTCAGAAGAAAATTTACTGCAACAAGCACAGCTCTGGCTGTGAAATTGACCTCATAATCAGAGCTAAGTATCAATGTATGTGAAAATGATTATTGCAAATGTCAAGAAATGTCTCATAAGCAGATATAAAAAGATGAAATGAATGTTACCAAAAGTAAAGTTAGATTATTTTTGGATGTGATGTCCCAGATACTTATTGTCTCACATCTATAATACAAGCAGTCTCAAGAATTGTCAACCAAAAGTAAAAAGATTATATAGATTATGAGTATAAATTTGTAGAATTTAGAACAGATTCTTTGTCGCTTCTTGGTAAGATAATAAGATAACAGCATTGCTAGTCATGGTGGCACTTGTCTGTTTTCCCAGTGATTCAGGAGGTTGAGGCAAGAGGTCAGCCTCAACTTAGCAAGATCCTGTTTCAAAATAAAAAACAAGTAAAAAGGTCTAGGGATATAGTAAAATGCACCTGGTTCAATTCCTGGTACCCCAGTCCCCTGCCCTAAAAGAAAAAAAAAAAAAAAGACACTATTTAATCAGGAAGTTGATCCAAAAAAATAGGAAAAGAAGGTTTGATTGATAATACATGAAATCCACATTATTAAAAGGGAAAGAACATAATTTTTAAAAAAGGATTTTGAAATGGAAAACTAGCTTGCTTTGATCAGGAACAGGAAATGAAGTAGCTGAAGTTAAATTTATAGAGCATGGAAGATGGAAATTAACTTGAAATAAGACATAAGAACTAAAATGAATTCACTCTTTTTTATACCTCGGTAAGTTTTGCTGTGGGAAATTCTCAGTGTGCATTTCTCCATTTTCTAGGCCTTACTGGGGCTTTTTGACGTTTCAATTATTGTGAGAATTAGAGCTATCAAATGCCCATATTGTAAGCAGTTCAAAAATACTTGTCAAAGTTAGTCAGGTGCAGTGTGTTACCAGCTTGGACGGTTGAAACAGGAGGGTTGAGAGTTCAAACCCAGGGCCAGCAAAGAGCTCGGCACTAAGCAACTCAGGCCCCGTCTCTAAATAAAATATAAAATAGGGCTGGGGATATGACTCAGTGGTTGAGTGCTCCAGAGTTCAATCCCTGGTATCCCCCTGTCCCCAAAAATAGTTGGGGATATGACTCAGTGGTTGAGTGCTCCAGAGTTCAATCCCTGGTATCCCCCTGTCCCCAAAAATAGTTAACATAAATAAACTACCTGGTCAGATATTTTTATTGTGTCATGGGAAATTGTTTTATAAAATTTAGTATTCTGGATTGGATTCAGAAGAGAATTAGAATTTAAGTTCAGACTTTTAAAGGTAAATGTTTTTTTTTAACTTTTGATTTAACCTTTGGGGAATCGTATCCCACAGCGTGCATACAGGTCTGAAGCGAGACTACTTGGATATGAATCTCAGCTTCAGTTTATACTAGCCATGTAACTTTACATAAATCATTAAACCTATATGCCTTCTTTGTTTTGTTTTTGTTTGTGGTGCTGGGGATCAAACCAGGGCCTCACACATGCCAGGCAATCTGTCTACCATGAACCACATTCCTAGCTTTCTGCCTCTTTTTTTGCAATGTGCAAATCAGATAATTAACCTGTTGCATACAGTTGATGTGAAGAATTAGTGTATAGTGTAACTGATGTATAGTAAGCAATCAGTTTTTATTTTTTTTTTTTTCAGTTGTAGATGGACACAATTTATTTACTTTTATGTGGTGCTGAGGATCAAACCCAGTGCCTTATACATGCTAGGCAAGAGCTCTACTACTGAGCCACAACCCCAGCCCAGCAATCAGTTTTTAAAATGTAGTTAATACATTATTTATAAGTCTATTACACACATCTAATGTTTATGTTCATAGGTGGAGAAATTGCTTCTACCTTTGATCACCCAGAACTGGTGAAGCTTGGAAGTTGCAAACTTATTGAGGAAGTCATGATTGGAGAAGATAAACTCATTCACTTTTCTGGGGTTGCCCTTGGTGAGTTATTATGCCCTTGGTGTGTTGTTATTATGTGTCTCATGGTTCCTAAATCTTTTCTAGGCTCCATTGAAGTGGAAAAAAAAAGTTACTATAGTACTAGAAAATGTTATTAGTCTAAAATCTTTTTTTTTTTTGTAGTGCTGAGGATTGAACCCAGGGCCTTATGCATGTAAGGCAAGCACTCTACCAACTGAGCTATATCCTCAGCCCCAAGCCTAAAGTTTTGAAAAAGCATATTTTGAAGTAAACTTCATATTTATTATGCCTTTTATGAAGAGTACATATTCAGCTTTTAGTTTTCTCTATTATTTAGAATCACTATGAATATAAGTTAGGAAAGAAAATGCGTCACAGAATATATCAGCTTTCAAAATCCAAGAATGTAAACCACACCTACATAAATCATAGAGTGCATAATTTTCATGTTTGAGTAATTTGTCACTATAATATAAGAATATTATGTTTTAATTTTAGGTGAGGCTTGTACCATTGTTTTGCGTGGTGCCACTCAACAAATTTTAGATGAAGCAGAAAGATCTTTGCATGATGCTCTTTGTGTTCTTGCCCAAACTGTGAAGGATTCTAGAACAGTATATGGAGGAGGTAAGAATTTGGAAAACATTAAACACTTTAAGAAATAAAAGTATGATATGGTTCATAGATGGTTTTATTGGTTCTTAGAAACTAAATGTATTATCTTTGCATTTAGAGTTTTTTAAAATTTTTCTCCCCACTTGCAGTACTGGCAGTTAAACCCAGAGGTACTGTACTACTGAGCTACATCCCCATCCCTGTTTTTTTTTTGGAGACAGGACCTCCCTGTGTGCTGGGCTGGCCTCCAACTTGTGATTCTTCGGTTTTAGCCTTCAGAATTAGATGGGTTTACAGGCAGGCACCATTGTGCCTGGTCTTTGCACTTAATTTTAAAGCACTTGGCAATATCTGAAGGGAAGTCAATAATTCAGTACCATGAAGATAACATTAGCAATATTTTAATGGAATTTTTATTCATAGGCTGTTCTGAGATGCTGATGGCGCATGCTGTGACACAGCTTGCCAGTAGAACACCAGGCAAAGAAGCTGTTGCAATGGAGTCTTATGCTAAAGCCCTGAGAATGGTAAGCTAGTAAAAATGAGAAATTTCAACTTAAATTTTGTGGCTATTGATGATTTTAAAATGAGTACATTTTACATCCTAGACAGCAAATAGTCACTGCCTTGGCTTTTTTTTTTTTTTTTTTTTTTAAAGTTGTAGACAGAGTACCTTTATTTATTTTTATATGGTGCTAAAGGATCAGACTCAGTGCTTCACATGTGCTAGACAAGTGCTCTACCGCTGAGCCACAACCCCAGTGCCTGCCTTGGCTTTAAGAACATGAATTACCATTTTCAAATTTGATTCTGAATTTTATACCCTTAATGAGCAATAACTAAAAGCAGATTTTATATTGTTTCTAAATGTAGTTTTTAAAAGCCATCTTTCTAGATAGCAGTAAGTTAATGTTTTGTATAGTAAAGTTAATTTATCTCCTTCATTTCATAGTTACCAACCATCATAGCTGACAATGCAGGCTATGACAGCGCAGATTTGGTGGCACAGCTCCGAGCTGCTCACAGTGAAGGCAATATAACTGCTGGACTGGGTAAGAAATAATGTGCAACTTTTGTAGTAGTTGACAAAAGTGTCTATCTCCAGGTTTTTTTTTGGAAGAAGAAAAAGTAGTTTGATGATAACTGTATAAGATTCCTTTGTTCCTTTTGTAACTTATTTGGGGAAATATTTAACTTCATATTCTCAACATTACCCTAGGAAGTATAAAACTAGTTAGAAGATTGGTAACTAGTTTGGTATATAATGATGCATAAATAATGCTCATATTCTGAAATAAGTGTAAATTCTGCTACTACTATTCTCTTTTTGATACTGGAGATTGAACCCAGGACCTTGTTAAGCAAGTACTCTACCACTACCACTGATCTATATCCCTAGCCCATCTACTATGATTTCTTAAAACTCCCTTTTCTTTTTTTTTGATGGGTGTGTGGGGGCATACCTTGGATTTAATCCAAGGGCATTTAATCACTCAGCCACATCCCTAGTCTTTTTTTTTTTTTTTTAATTTTAAAATAGTGCTGAGACTGGTCTTGAACTTGTGATCCTCTGTCTCAGCCTCCCGAGTCACTGGGATTACAGGCATGCACTGTCATTCTAGCTAATTCCTAATTTTATAATAAACTTATTGAGACATTCTTGAAGGCAGATCTTTACTCCATAGATAAGTGTGGCCAACAAGCAGATTTAATTCAGATTAAAAATTTCTAATAAGCTCTGCAACGTATTATAGGAACAATCTTAGAAAGTAGATAATCCTGTCATTGAATAAGAGCCAATTAATCATCTGTCTGAGAAACAATGAAAGGTTGGATAGGTGACTTATAAATTTCTTCCAGGTGTATGACTTTATAGTAGTTAGCAATAAGCAAATTTTCTGCATTAATTTTATATATAGGTATAGATAAAGAGAGAATATTAATGTAAGTGACCTAGTGTTTTGTACAATTAATTGTTCTTTGACATTGTTGCCCTCTGTTAATACAGGTGAATAGTAATTGAATAGAATAGAAGTGCCTCTTTTTTGGTACTGGGGATTGAAGTCAGAGTTGCATTACCACTGAGCTACATCCCAGTTCTTTTTTTTTTTTTTCCTTCATATTGAGACAGGGTCTTGCTGTGTTGTGGAAGCTGGCCAAAAACATGCCACCCTTGTGCATTGGCCTCCTGAATCACTGAGATTACAGGTGTATGCCACTGCACCTAGCAGTAATTGACATTGGAAACTCCCCCCCCCCCCCTTTTTTTTTTGTGGTACTGGAAATTGAACCTAAGGCCTCATCCATGCTAGGCAAAACACTCTGTCAATGGGCTATATCCTCAGCCCCCTCTCTATATTTTTTAATTGGTACTTTATTCTTAATAGTGGGATTTTCTGTTACATATTCGTGTGCATACAGATAATGATTTATCGTTCCCTGGTACCTCCCCCTTCTGCGTTCCCTGCCTCCCTCAGTCCCCTTCCTCTACACTACTTCACTAATTGTCTGGTCTCCCTTCTGTTTTCATACGATCCACCATACACACACAAATGCCTTTTTACCCCCTTCCTCTTTCTTCCATTTATTTAAAAAAAAAACATTCAGCCCTAGGCTTGCTGAGTGTGACTTATTTCACTTCACATAATGTTCTCAAATTCCATTCATTTACCTGCGAATTCTTATTTATGGTTGAATAAAATTCCATTGTTAAACATACTGCATTATTTTTATCTAGACATCTGTTAATGGATACCTAGGCCGATTTCAGAATTCAACTGTTGTGAACTGTGCTGCTATAAACATGGGTATGCCTGGTTAGATCTTTTAATTTTTTTTTTTTTTTTTTGAGGACCTTTATTTATTTGTATGTGGTGCTGAGAATTGAACCCAGTGCCTCATGCATGCTAGGCAAGCCCACTACCACTGAGCCACAACCCCAGTCCCTAGATCTTTTAATTTTTAAAAAGGCTTTCCTGAATTCTTTTATGAACTAATTTGCTAACTATATCAAGTAGTTGGGTGTTGTAATCTTAGACTGTTTTTTTAAAACAGGTTTCATTTTATTTATTATAAATCATTAAAGATGTTTTAATACTTCAGTTGTTAAACTACAAGTTTTTCTTTTCAGATATGAAAGAAGGTACCATAGGAGATATGGCAATATTGGGCATCACAGAAAGTTTCCAAGTGAAGCGGCAAGTTCTTTTGAGTGCAGCTGAAGCAGCAGAGGTGATTCTACGTGTGGACAACATCATCAAAGCAGCACCAAGGTATCAGAGTACTTTTAGGTTCTAGAAAAAATTACTAACACTGAGACAAGTGGAGCACTTTTACTTGATACTATAGTTAATGGGACACAGAACCATTTTTGCCTAGTTAAAAGAGTCCCTAAGTTATTTAAAGTAGTCTCAATTCTTAAGAATTTTAAGTCAGGAAAGCTTTTGGGAAAGGGAGCATGAACAACTATGCTAGCTTCTCAGGATTGAAAGGGCACATAAAGAGCCAGATTTAGAAAGTTTAAATATCAGGGAGCTTGGGGGCTAAGGGTAGCAGTGTTGTAATAACCTATAACCTATGTTTTTTTTTTTTTTAACCAGGATGAATAAGCTTCCATTGTTTTCTGTCCTGGGTATACTTCTATTTAGACATTTTTAAGCACACATTGTATAAGGTTTCTTTATAGGTTTTATTTTAGCAACTTAAGTTCTTTTAAAATCTCATTCACATAGAAATGGTTAAGGACAAGCTGGGCCCAGTGGTTTATGCCTTTAATTGTAGCAACTCAGGAGGCTAAGGCAGGAGGATTGCAGATTTGAGGCCAGCATCAGCAACTTAGTGAGGACTGTGTCTCAAAGATAAAAAGGGCTGGGGAGGTAGCTTGGTGATTTAGGGTGCCCTGAGTTTCATCCCCCTACTCAGTGCTCCCCCGTCCCCTCCCCCCCCAAAAAAAAGGGTTAAAGGGAAAGATGAAGATTCAGTTAATGATTTTCACTTGCTCTTAGTAGTTATTAGTCATTCATATTTACTATTAGTATTGGTTCAAGGAGATGGGAGAGTATAATAGTTTAGACCAGGATATTGTGGTAAGGGTGATGAGAAGGGATTGATTGTGGATCTGTTTTGAAAGTAGAACCAGTAGGGTTTTAATTATGAGTTGGATGCAGGGTGTGAGAGGAGAGAGAATTAAAAAATATTTCAAGGATTTTGCCTGAAGAAATGAGTTTTGTCTGAAATGCAAAGACTGAGAGAAAGAGGGAACGCAGATACGGGTTTCAAGACAGGAGACTGCTTGAGTCTGTACAAGTGAATGTTGTAAATAGGGGAAGAGTTTTTAAGAACTGAGTGCTGCAGAACTCCTATAATAAGTTTGGAAAGATGCAGAGCATCCAACAGAGGACATAAAGAAGGAATAAACAGATGTAGAAAATTATTAATCCTGGGTAAGGTGTATGAGGATTTGTTATACAATCTACTTTTATTTACATTTGAAACTTTTTTACAATAACAAAATTTAAAAGTGGGTTGGGAGGGATGTCACTTAGGTAGTAGGACAACCAAGGTAATTTGTATCTCAACTAAGTGAAGAAGTGGGAAAGGTTCAGGGGCAAGATCACATAGCCAAACCTACACATAGAAATCTTCACAGTAACTCAGTGTCCTCAACCACATTTGAAACGTATATTTTTGCAGTAAAGAAACATGAATACTTTTACTTTTAGCCTTGCCAAACTCATTTTTCATATTTCTTTTTCTTTTTTTTTGGTACCAGGGCGCTCCACCACTGAGCTACATCCCCAGCCTTATTTTGTATTTTATTTAGAGACAGGGTCTCACTGAGTTGCCTAGCACCTCAATTTTGCTGAGGCTGGCTTTGAACTCAAGATCCTCTTGCCTCAGCCACCCAAGCCAACGGGATTACTGGTGCATGCCACTGCGCCTGGCCATATTCTTTTCTTAACCAACAGAGAATGTGCTTTTCAGATTAGTGCCCAGTGATAAAACTGGTTAATAAATTTTTTTTGACATGGTTAGGAACCTAGTTTGCCCATAAACTACTGAGTTGGAAGGTGTTTATTTCTGTATGACCCAATTTAATACTATGTTCTTTGAGTCTGTTCTTTTACTTTTCTTTACTGTTTTTTGTGCCTTTAGAAAGAGTGTTTCTGAATCACGAAGTTAAAAATTTCCCTGTATCCTTACCATCTTTTCTCCTCAAACGATCCTTATATGTCCTCACTGTGTGGTCATTAGAGAATAAAAGTTGTGAGGGATATTTTTGTTATGATTCTAGATTCATCTAGAATAGAATCTTCAGTGTCCTGCCATTTTTTGGACTTCTGGTTAAAGTAATTGTGTCTAGGGCTAGGGCTGTAGCTTAGTGGTAGAACACTTGCCTAGCATGTGTGAGGCACTGGATTCGATTCTCAGCACCACATACAAATAAATAAAATAAAGGTCCATCAACCTTATTAAAAACACAAAAAAAGTAATTGTATCTAATACAGTAAAATTTCCTAACATGTATTAGTAAAAAACGTGGATTAACCCTTTTTTCTCGAATGTTTTTTTGTTTTTTGTTTTAATTTGTTTTTTTAGGTATACATGACAGAGTGTGGAGTGTGTATCTTAGGTAGGGTGTTTGGATGAGAAGTTGAGAATAGCAAATATCCCACAGGCCTTTGCGTTCCACAGATTTTCTAATGGCCTCTAATAACATGCTACTTGAAGAGTGTTAGTCAGAGGTAGAAACATCCTTTGTAGGAAATTTGAGTTCTAATGATTTTAATAAAATTAGAATTCTGGTTGTCTGTATGTAGTATAAAACTTTGGTTAACATCATGCTTTTCACCTTTGACATTTTTCTTAATTGTATGGTTTTTCCTTATAGGAAACGTGTCCCTGATCATCATCCCTGTTAAGCATTCCCAAATGCTGTTGATCTCTGGACCAGTTCATAACAAAGTTCTATTCGAAAGATTTCAACCTTTAGAAGAAACCTGTGGAATCGATGGCTGGCTGTGCCCATTATATCCTTAAGTTTGGACATTAGCTGACCTTCTGTTTTAACGTGGGTCTAATTTATTTGCTGTTTCATTTCCATACAATTCAGTTGATTTAAAAGTTCATTTCTCATAGCGTGCATTAAAATTTTGAACAATTACTTAGTTCTTATGTCTTATGCTCTTTGTGTACCCTATTTGAAATATGCTTAATGGAAGTGAATGATTGCATTTTCAGTATAGAGTTGATCCACTTAATGATTAACCTAGTGTGTATGAGGCCTTGGGTTTGATTCCTCAGTACCACAAAAACTAAAAAGACAAAACCCGAGATTGAATCCAGGAGTGTTTTACCACTAAGCTGCATCCCCAGTTCCTAGTTCTTTTTTATTTTCAGATGAGGTCTTGCCAGGTTGATGAGTTTCATGATGAGTCGCTGAGATTGTCTTTGAACTGCCTCTGCCTCTCAAATAGCTGGGACTGTAGGTGTTTGCCATTGTGCCTGGCTTTGAAACTTAATAGCAATTTTTAAATGCTTTGATGATTTTTGATTTCTAGAATAATGGAAAGGGCAGAGAATATTCACTTAAAATTTAAAAATGAACTCCTTAAGAACTAGGTATGTTCTATACAGGTAAATCAGGAGAATTTGACACAATGTTGTGGTTATATTTTTTACATTAAGTACAATAGATATTATAGTTGAAAAATGTTTTGATGGTGAGGGAGTGGTCTATAGCAGTTTATACTTTTTCCTTTAAGCAAGGATTTATATTGATTTTAGGGTAAATTTAAGTGTTGTGCTTAGAAAAAGAATATGTTATGTAAACATTTACTGTCACATGCCAAGCACTGTTCTGTTCATTTTATACACAGTAATTGGTTTAATCCTTACAATGCCCTATTTGATAGAAACTGTTTTTCTGATAAGGAAATGGGACAAAGGTGGTAACTGACCAGTAAGGGCAGAGCCTGGATTTGATCCCAGATGGTATGAAGGACCATGCTCACAGCTATGATGCTATACTGTTTCTGGATCACTCATGTGCTTTTAGTTAAGGTTGAGTTCAGTTGACTTTTTAAGCATAAAATTACAAATAGTGATGTTGCATTACAGTATAAAATAAAAAAGGAAATTTGGTTGCTGATTCATTTCTGTGGGATTTATGTTAAAGGTTAGTTGATATCTCTCTTACAGAAGCTAAAATCCAATTATCAAGTTTTAAAAGAAAGCTAAGGTGTAGCTCAGTGGCAGAACATTTGCATGGCATGTGTGAGACTCCGGTTCAGTCCCCAGCACTGGGGAGAATATAGTTCTAAAAAAAAGTCTTTTCTTTCCTGGCGGTGGGTGGGTACCAGAGATTGAACTCTGGCACTCAACCACTGAGTCATATCCCCAGCCATATTTTGTACTTTATTTAGACACAGTGTCTCACTGAGTTTCTTAGTACCTCACCGTTGGTGAGGCTGGTTTTGAATTCAAGATCCTCCTGCCTCAGCCTCCCAAACCCTTGGGATTACAGGCATGTGCCACTGTGCCCGGTGAAATTTTCATTTTAATAATAACATGAATACTAAGGAGTAAAAAAAGTTGTATTTGTTGCTGTAGTATTTTTCCATTACTTTACTATCTAATGATGTCAGCATCTCCAAAATATCAGGGTTTTAGAAACACAAGTAGGCAGATGGGCATCGTGGTGCACGCTTGTAATCTGGAGGTTGAGGCAGGAGGATCACAAGTTGGAAGCCACCCTGGGCAATTTAGTGAGACCCTGTCTCAAAAAGGACTGGCAGTGTAGCTCAGTGGTACAAGAAATATTTCTGGCAAATGTGAGCCTTTCTTATTTTAGAACTAATCTTTACTGGTTTAACATCTAGTAGCCCTGCCCCCAAACAAAAAAAAAGTATGTATGTGTATTTATGTATATTTATATTTATACACACAGTTACATGCTTTATAAAATTGAAAAATCTACACTAAAAACATTTTTGGACAGCAAAATCACAACTATTAGTTTGATATAAATATTTATTCGTTGTATATTGTTTTAGAACAACAAAACAGCTTGACCATAGGCCAAAATGTTTATAATTTTAACATTTTGACTCAGAATAGTAAGTTCATTCAGTGAGAACTTTATATGGATAATAACTTCACTCAGTTTTATAGTGTGTAGCCTGCAGCTTACACTGGAAAATGTGGGCCCATTAAACTGGGGAGGAGAAAGACAATTCAAAACAAAGTCAGCACTAGGTGTGTTGGGGAATGCCTGTATCCCATCTGCTCAGGAGACTGAGGCAGGAGGTTCTCAAGTTTGATGCCAGCCTCAGCAACTTAGCAAGACCCTGTCTCAAAATAAAACAGAACTGGGGATGTGGCTCAGTGATTAAGTGCCCCTGGGTTCAATCCCTGTTATCCCCCCTCCCTCTCAAAAAAAAAAAAAAAAAAAAAACTAATCCATAAACTGGTACAAAGTTTAGAAGGTAAATTCTGTTGGGCAAACGTTTTTAACATCATTTGATTTTAATTATTAGGAATAAGAAAATAGAGAAATTCTGTTTTAATAGAGATCTGGACTCATTACTAAAAACTTGTATATAGTACAAATTTAATGATTGAAAGGGTTCCTTGGATGACTGATCAGTGGGTTGCAAATGGTCTACAGATGGAAGGTGGTGACACGGTACTTAACTCTGTAGTAACAAGAAATATTTCTGGCAAATGTGAATCTTATTTCATTTTAGAACTAACCTTTACTGGGTTAAGGTGCTTTTATCGGAAAAAGTACTTTTTTTTTTTTCCTTAAACGCTCAATACATTGTGCTTCAGTTTAGATAATTGACCTAGATTGCTGAAAAGTTTATTAAATCACCCACTGGCAGCAATTTCTTTAAGTTTGTATATTCATGGGAAGGTCACAGTTGAGATATTTAACAAAATAATGGCCAAAATACCTAGGTTTGTACAATGTTGAAAAACTATCTACAAAAATTAAACTGGAACTAAAGCAGATACACTGAGGATAAAGAGGCAGAGTTCAGGGCTGGAGTTGTGGCTCAGCGGTAGAGCACTTGCCTAGCATGTGAGAGGCACTGTGTTCAATTTTCAGCACTGCATATAAATAAATGAATAAAATAAAGGTCCACCAACATCTAAAACTTTTTAAAAAGAGGCAAACTTCCAACATATTCTACAGTCTGCAATTCAAATTTCAAAGTACTTAGTTCAAATGCCAGCTTTCTCACCTATTGCCTTTAATGATTCTGAAGATGTGCTTTTTCTCCAGTGATGGGGGATTCCATTCAGCTCAGTTTCTTAGTGTAAATAAGCAGAAGGGCTTTGCTGGTGGTGGGGAGGGAAGTAGTGGGCAAAAATTCGAGGTGTGCGGGGCACTGTGGTGCATGTGTATAATACCAAGGGCTCAGGAGGCTGAGGCACTAGGATCACAAGTTCAAAACCAGCCTCAGCAACTGAAGGCACTAAGCAACTCACTGAGACCCTGTCTCAAAATAAAATACAAAATAGGGCTGGGGATGTGGCTCAGTTGTCCAGCATCCCCAGGTTCAATCCTCGGTACCAAAAAGAAAAAAAACCAACAACAACCCAAGGTGTGACTTAAGTGAGACTGCAAGGCAAAGGAAAGAGGTTCTATTTTGTAGGTGATGTCTAAGCTCCCTAAACAGATGGTAGTAGACCTTGAGTTAAACCTTTGGGGAAAATAAGAAATCGGCATGAAACACTATTAAGTTTAAAGTAACATCTGAACGAACCCCAAGAGAAATTCTCCATCTGAGATCTTCAGCAGGTGCTAAAATGGTGGGGGAAATGTTTTATTTTGAGCCTCTGTAACAATAAACAACTTTTTTGTGTGTGAATCTGCTAGATAAAAATGTCTTTTGGTGGCCTGCATTAGAAACAATACCTTGTTACAGTTCGTTGTTATTCATAGTAAAGAAATATGTCCTGCCAGGGTTAGATCATCTGAACAGTTAGTGGGTTCTTTAACAAATACCTTATTTGAGGATTTCATGAGCCTCATCAGTCACTTTTGGAGTGTGAAAGAGGCAAATGTGAGCCTTTCTTACTCAAAATAACTGCTTGGAGAAGCTTTTTTTCTTGCAAAGAAGTTATGAGCACTCTGGGTTTCCAAGGAAACTGATAGCACACAGTTTTTCTTTGGAAGAGATGCTGTGGTCAGAAACTTCTTAGTGTTCCTTTATTGCTTTGCATCAACCCCTCAAATGACACAGAATAATCCCACTGTAATGAAGAAATCTTGAGAACATGCAGTTGGGTCCTTGACATTGATGGACTGCAGCTCCTTAAGAATTGGGAGAAAGAGAAGGACATAGGGCAGGGGCCAGTGGCTCCTGGCTTTCTTCCTTGGCCAATGCATAGCGCCTGGCTTTTCTGGGGTCAGGCTCTGGTGTCTCCTCTGCCCATCTTCCAACACGGCGCACACCCTTCCCCACCTTGGGCGCATTTCTGCAAGGATTATGGTCATAGATAACCAGCTTCAGACCTGACAAGTGGGCCAGACTGGGAAAGTAACGGATGCTGTTCCGGTCCACATCAATTACCTCCAGTAAAGGCATATGAAGCAGCACAGTGGGGAATTCGGTCAACAGGTTTCCTGAGAGCCAGATGGTCCTTAGCTCGCTGAGGCGCTGGAGCTGGCCGGGTAGGAGACGCAGGGCATTGGAGCCTGCATGCAAAGTCTTAAGGAGACTCAGCTCACAGACCACGTCTGGCAGCTGGGTGAGGCAGTTAGCTTCAATCCAAAGGGTCCGGAGGTTCTGGAGCAGCCTCAGCTCATTAGGGAGGTTGCAGAGTTTGTTGTTGCCCAGGTAGAGGATGCAGAGCTGTTTTAAGGTACATACCACTTGAGGCAAAGCCTTGAAGTTGTTGAAATCCAAGGCTAAGATCTGCAGGTTCTGCAGCTGCTCCAGCTCTGGAGGCAGGCTATTGAGGTGGTTGTCACTGAGGTAGAGCTTGACCAGGTCCGTGAAGGAGCACACATGCACAGGGAAGCGGCGTAGCTGGCTCCCACTCAGATCCACCATCTTGTCCAGCGGCATCTCCTGGAGGTCTCCAACCACGTAGTTTTGGCAACAGTCACCAGGGATGAAGGCCACAAGGGCCTTGATGGTGTTCCCCATGTAGA